AGAGATAAAACACAGTGTGATATCAGTTCTAGTCCTAGTCTGGCTGCCATTTCCCATAAGAAGTTTACTTTCTGCTTTGTTTCTCCAGTAGCAAAACTGTGCTCAGAGGGGTCTTCATGGGAAAAACCCACAAATTGAGTGCACTGTCAGTAAAAACTATTCTGTACCCTAGCTAGAAAGCATACTAGAGGGGTATTTGTAAGGACTCCAGATACACATCTTGTTTTTTCTCAGCTTCAAGTGACTGTTGTCTTATCTCTTTCTTAATACAGCAAACACTTCATGACCTTTTGAAAAAAGCTCCCCTTGCCTACGCTGCTGAAATTAAAGAGCTAAACCAGCAACACGAATCACTGTTTTCCAAATGGATGCTGCAATTACAGTAAGTAATCAATGAGAATTACTGAAGAAGCCTAGTAAACAGGCACAGCCAGTAGACTTACCCTCATGTCAACAACATCCTGTGGATAAGTTAAGGAGTGACATTTTTTCTTTGATTGCTTAAATTTTAAATTATGTTGCATTAATTTAGTACAGTGTTTCCTGTGGACCAAATTGTATTTCACTAGCTCCTTGAAATGAATGCCTAAGTGAAATGAGGTTGCATTCTGCCTGGCTAGTTTGTCTGTGTGTCTGTAAGCCAAGCTAGAGGGCATTCACAAACAGGGAACACAAATGACGAGAAAAGTACTCTTTGTGAACAGTCACTTATGCTTACAGCAGTGTAGTCGGTAGTGAGTACCCCACCACCAACTTCTTCAGTATGTGGTTATCCTCAGTGGTGTAGCAGTTAACTTTGAATGCCTATGGTACCTAATAATCTAGGTACAAAAAAATCTTTGTGCTGTTGGAAACATTAGCAGTATAAATTTTATCTGGATTTGTGTGTATCTTCATGGGAGGGAGAAAAGAGTTAACCATCCAGGAACTATAGAAGCTGTGAGATTCTGAAGTGCCTTAAGAGAAGGCAGGCCACCAGCTCTGAAGTTCAGTGCTGAGGCAGGAGCATGTTGGTGAGGAGAATGCCCCTTGGAATCTTTGCAAGATAGAGGAGTATAAGGAAATTGGTGGTCTGTGGGGAGTGACAGAGCGTATGAAAAAGACATTTGCTTTGAATGTTGAAGAGTTGCAAGAAAAGTTCAGTGTGACTCAGTGATCTGGGCAAATGGTTAGAGATGCATGTGGCAGGGTAGAAGGAACCAATCCATTGATGATACTGAAGTCAATGACAGTTGTTTGCTGTTTGAGTGGCCCGATGCTCTTCTTTCTGGTCAAGATGCTGCTTTTCCTGCTTCTCAAAAAAATCGAAAGCTTTGTGATTTCCTACCATGTTCTCTTTGTGCTTTTCTACCTCTTTCTTTGTGGAAAAATTAGGATAAGCAAGAGACAAGATAATAGTTTAACTTTTCTTTGAAATTGTGCCCGCAGATCAGAGCATAAAACCACTATGAAGGCTTTCTATTTTTCTTATAATTGCTGTGACCTATGGTAAACATTTAATATAATCACTGGTGAGGGAGTGAATGTGAATGCTGATTACTCTTCGTTATCTGAAGTTGCAAATCTAGTCTTACATTCTTGGACAATACTATTTTCTTCCACAGATGTTTTGCTAAATTTTTGTGTCTCCAGGCTGTTAAAATGTTTCTTTTACTAGGATGCATGTGCCAAGTTTCAGATTCCTTGCAGCTGACTTTGTCAGCTGTGAGCTGAAGGTAAGCCTGGGGTTGATGAAACATAAAAGTTTTAGAGGCAAGATTGCAATGGATCATTTTGCTTCATGATGGTATGAACCTGAAAAGGGACTTGTACTTTTTTGATTTGGTGTATTTGCTCACTTTTTTGCAGCTTAAGTTTCAATATTGTGCTTTATGGACTGGGCTCGAAGCGTGATTTGTTAGAGAAGTTTCGTACCTCTATGCTCCAGGATTCTGTTCACCTTGTGGTTAATGGATACTTCCCCAGCATCACTGTGAAATCTGTAAGTGTGGGGAAAGCTTCTGGGTTTATCTAATCATCCTGTGTTATAGACACCTCTAAAGTCTTTCAGTGTCAAATGTTAAGGAAACCTGCTGCATCCTATAGCAACAGACTCTTGAATGAAGAACAGTTCCTATCTCTTTTAGGAGTTTAAATAAATTAGCCCATGTGTTTTCCAAGGAATTGCAGTAATTCCCATCATTAATAGATACTCATCAGTCTAAAGCCTTCTTTTATGTCACTGTTTTGAAAAGGGGTAGAAATCTTTGGTTTATGTTGACTGTTTGGGAGATTTGATGGTGAAAATCAGATAGTCTCCCTCATGACAGTCAAGGGCTCAGTTTCAGATTTTCTGCACTAGGTCCTTCAGTGCCTGAGCCCTTCAGAAGGGACTGCTGTTTTCTTTTTCAGATTCTCAACTCCATCACAGAGGAGGTACTAGACCATATAGGGACCTTCCGCAGCCCCCTTGACCAGCTTGAATTAATCATTAAAAGGTTTAAAGAAGGTAAAATGACTAACTTTGTACATAAAAATGTTAAAGTCCACTTAGTGTTAGAACAGTCTGGGTATTTTCTTTCCTCGTAGTTTTCATTTATGCAGTTACAGTTTCTTAGTTTTTTGTAGTTAGTGTACTTTCTTGCTTTTAATTTACACCATATATATGAAAACATAAATGCAGCAGAAATATATGTGTACATGATCCCAAGCTCAGTCTGTTTCACATGCTAAGTTCCCTAGAAGGGGAAGGAGGAAGGCACAGGTGCTCTCACAAGACAGAGGCTTCTCAGCTCTTTGGCAAACCAAAATGCTCATCTCTCTTGCATTTAGGACAGTGTCTTTGTGCTTTATTTATCCAGTGTTTCTGTAGCTGTGTGTTTCCTGGTGGAAGACAGGATAAGTAAACTCCAGCTACATCAGGGAAGATGGTTCTCAGTGGCTGCGTGAGGACCTGATACAAACCTCATTGCAATCAACAGAACAGAGAACTCGCAAACCATTTGGAATGACAGTTGCTGACAGATAATAAGTCCATTGAGCTTCTCTGGAAAATCATGGCCTGAGGGTTTTTCTCTACATTTCAGAATAGGCTGGATTAAGGCTTAATTATACATGGTTTAGTGGAATGGTCAGTTAAATTTAATATATGCAAATACTGGCATTAAGATGAAATAAAGGACAACAGTGTCAAACAAGCAGGTTAGAAATGGGTTCAAAAGAAAAACAGGTATTGCCACAATGAGTGCTTGCTGAATTCTTTTTGAGTGTTCGTTTTGCTGCTTGTGTTGACGTACACAAATTGCCATGGAATCTTAATTGTGCATGGCATTGGTGTTGAAGTGTTTACATTCAGTATTCCATCATTACCCTATGAGTATTTCTAGTGGGACTAAGTGAAAAAGACTGATTAACAGCTGTACCCACCTGAATCTACATGAATCAGTCTTCTGTAGTACACTACAGCTGATCTGACTGGGAGTCTGAGGAATCTTTGGTTTCCATTGGTAGCCAAGTATGTATTAATTTGCAGAAAAAGCTGGCCACTGTTGCAGAATTGTTTCTGGACTCAGGAAATAGCTGTTCCCAGGGATAAGTACAGCAGTAACAAACTAGCTGGAAATTTTAACATCTACCGTTTGCGTTATCCAAGCTAAGTCTTTGCATCTTGCTCAGGAAACTGGCTGCTA